TGCATTGGGTTTTTTATATCCTCTTTCTTAACTGTCCAGCTCCCACATCCATTACATGGTAATATGGAATACAATGGCTTCTGTGATTCTAACTTTTGTGCTCAGTTGTATATATAATAATAATAAATAATAAAATTTTATTTATACCCCGCCCAATGGGTAACCAATCAGGGCGGCTTACATCATCTTTGCATTATAGTTCCCATTCATCTCCATGGGTTCAGGAAGCATCACCTGGCTACAAAGTTTCAACCGGCGGCTGCTTGGGCACCTTTGCCACATCCTCCGAGGAGCACGACATGGACATGAGGTGGCCCTTCCCTGCTTTCCTCTGGAGCATTACGCTCCGACTAAATAGGTGCAGAATTTGGGCCAGCTTCGAAGTCACTATACCAGAAGCATTTGGGGCAGCATTTCCCAGGGTTTAGATAATTATTTGCCTAGACTGAAGAGGTGCTTGGTCACATTACCATTTTTAATCACTGCTTCGTGTTTTTCCATAAAGCAGGATCCATGACACACAGCCAGCGCGGCACAGATGACACTCAGGCAGAAGAGGGCATTCTGAAATAGAGGCACGACAAAGAATAAAATGGAGAAGCCAATAACAAATAATAACTTGTGGTTGTTGAAGAGAGATCTTGTCGCACCTTTGAGACTAACTGAAATAAAGAAGTTGGCAGCATGAGCTTTTGTAGATTTCAGCCTACTTCCTCAGATGCATTTGGTGGAGTAGAAACCAGGGACAGACCTATATATGCCATTGGTATATGAGAATGTCAATTCAAATTAAAAATCCATTGTATATGGAAATGACATTTTCACATACCAATGGCATATATAGGCCTGTGCCGGTTTCCACTCCACCAAATGCATCTGAGGAAGTAGGCTTAAGTCTACGAAAGCTCATGCTGCCAACTTCTTTCTTTCAGTTAGTCTCAAAGGTGCTACAAAGTCTCCCAACATACTAAGGCAAACCTATCACAGTTTTTTCTTGGCCAGAGGAGGTTTGCCATGGCTTTCCTCTGAGGCTGAGAGAGTGTCACTTGTCCAAGGTCACCCATGGCTCAGTTGGGAATCGAACCCTGGTCTCCAGAGTCGTAGTCCAACATTCAAACCACTACGCCACGCTGGCTCAATTGCCTTAATTGTCAGCACACCAATCCATGGGTTGGATGCAGGCGACCAGCAATAGAGAGGATAGGCTGTTACTACATTAGAAAAGCAATGATTCCTAAGAAATTGGTTGCATTTTGTGAACAGGCATGTGAAGGGAAATTAGAATAGGTCCAGCCAATTTTCTTTGACACACCTGTTGCAATATTTTTACAGAATAAAATAAAATACAAATTTCATATTTCTGAATGGAGCAAACCGAAAGGTTAACGTATATGTAAACCTGGCTTTGACTCTAATAAATACTCCGAACGGTGTGTACTGTGATCAGAAATGGCTATCCAAATGTTACAGCAGGAAAATCTGAATTGCCTTGGCAGTAGCAACTAGAGTAGAAACGTTGAATGGTGAGTCAACGCTTGTGTAAATCCCATTGAGTTAATGGATTTGCTTTCGTTAGGACTACCAAGAGGATCGAAAGCACTCCCGCATTATCTGGATTTGCAGATAGTTTACATTCATTTTGCCTGTTCCTGGGTTTCTAAAGTTAACCGTGCCATTGGCAAGCCATAAAGGGAAGAGAGATGGGTGCGGTGTAGCTAACAAAATCATAGGTCAGAGTAAGGTGGAGATATTTGCCAAGCTTGGAAAAGTGACTCTGGGGACTATAGCTCCCAGAATCCCCTATGTCTGTATGCATTGCATGGCCATGCATGGCTATGTTGACTATGAGATTCTGGAGACCTGTATCCCTCAAAGTAACTTTTCCAAAATCTGGGAAGTATCTTATCCTCCCTCTAACAGTGGTGAGTTTCTGTTTTCTCCATTACCACCGGAACAGTTCTAAGTATTTATTATTGTTTTAAATTGTTTCATACACTTTTAGAATACAAATTACTTAAAGGACATATTGTTATTATCATCATTATTATTTCTTACCCGCCTGTCCCTATGGATAAAGGTGGGGAACAACAACAATTATTAGACAAGCAACATCAGTTCAAACTACACTGCTTTTTACCTACTATTATCTTTGCTTATTATCAAGAGCAGTATAGAAACACTGGAACAAATAATAAATATTGATAAAGTTGCTCAAGAACCTTGAAACCTTGCAGTTTTCGGAGCTAACCCAGCTCAGCACAGGATGCAAAAGCATAGCTGTACTTACCATCTCAGCTTCTCGGATAGCAAACTTTTCTTGCACAGAAATGGGGAGAAATACTTCTTGGAAGGAATACTTCTTCCCCGGATTTATACAAACTCAGAAGAGGAAGAGTGAGGATGAGAACACCTTTCCATGGGATTTGCGTTCTGGCCGAACGGATGTGACACACACACACACACACACCGTACACACACAAACACCGTTGGGGAAGAAATATTTGCTCCTGGCTTTATTGGCGTTTGATTTGTGCAGAGACACCTGTGACAAATGAGAGATTCTTAGCACTTTCAGAGACACCTGACAGGAACACACCTAGGCTAAGGCATGGCACTCAGAGAAAGAGGCAAAGACAAGGATCAGGGGCTCTTGCACACTACACAATCGCAACACTGCGATCCCACTTCAAGTGCCATGAGTCCATCCTGTGGGATTCTGGGGTTTGTAGTTTGGTGAGACACTAGAGCTCTCGGGCTGAGGATTCGAATCACTCCCTCAACTGCAAACCCCTGGATCCATTCTACTGGCTGGAACCATGGCAGTTAACGTGGAATTGTAGCGCTGCAATTCCGTAGTGTGAACAGATACAGATAAACCATTATCTGTGAACCATTAAAGAAGGGGGGGAAGGGCAGAGGAATGGAGGGACTAGCTCCTGAAACAAGGGAGGTGACAGCTATAAGGTCTATCTATACTATGCATTTGTAACAATTTCATACTACTTTAACTGCTATGGCAACATCCTATGGGATCCTGGGTATGTGGTTTGGTGAAGCACTAGAGCTCTCTAGTTGAGAATTCTAAGTACTCCTCCCTAAACTGAAAATCCCAGGATCACTTTCTGGGAGAAAGGCCAGATATAAATCCCATCTCTGTCTCTGTCTCTGTCTCTGTCTCTGTCTCTAACTCTATCTCTAACTCTAACTCTAACTCTAACTCTAACTCTAACTCTAACTCTAACTCTAACTCTATCTATCATCTATCATCTATCATTTATCAATCTTTATTTATTTATTTAGAGCAAGCAGTGATTCCCAAACTTTGGTCTACCAGATGTTGGGACCACAACTCTCAGAAGCCTCAGCCAGCTTTGGCAACAGTCAGGAATTCCAAAACATCTGGAGGATCAAAGTTTGGAAACCACTGATTTATAGTATTTATACCCCACTCTTGAGCTACAAAGGCTCTCACAGCGACTTGTAGATTATTGATTTCACAGTTATGCTTATGCAACAGACACTGCAATATGCTTTTCCCCCCCTCCCTGCAATACAAATTTCAGTATTTTTACCCTGCCAGAAGTATTGTCAAACTTCTTCAGGTTCATACAAAACCAGACACTGACTATCAATCTATCTATCTATCTTCCATAACCTTCAACATTTCACAGATGAAACCTGGGATGTTCGTGGCCAAGTAATATCAGAGTGTGTTCAAAATAGCAAATGTTACTAATGAAGAAGATCATACACATCAGGTTGTTGTACATTTTGCCTGGGAAGGAAAATATTCTGCCTCCTTCTCTCCATTTCCCCCATTGCTAAATTAATGGAGTGCAAACTACTTTTGCACTTTGAACTGTGTGCAGCAACTGAAATCAGAAAAAGGACAAAGGGGGGAGGTGGGAGGAGGAGAGAGAAACTGGGACACTTTAAGACCAGTTGAGAAAGTGGGATGACAGAGGATTAATAGGATTTAGGATCCAGACCCATGTTTCAAAGCCCAGGCTTGGATTTATTTGCAGTATAACTGCTCTTTTCCAAAATGAAAAGGACTTGTAAAAGTCTGTGTTACAAATACCTCCTAAGGTCAAACACCCGAGGAATTTCTCAAGGGCTATCAAAAGAAGACTATAAAGTTATTTTGCTCAACCTGAAATGGAGGTCAGGTTTCATCGCCTAAAGTGAAAAAACTGTAGTGGATTTAGAAATGCTTCCTCAGGCTGACACAGAGGAATTCTACAGAAAGCAAAAACATTATTTCCTGATGGCAAATCTTTGCAGGCTTTTGATATTTTTCAGCCAACTCCCAACTTAGCTGAGCTTCCATTGAGGCGAAAGAAGATGAGAAGCAAAGGTGAGAAGTAGGAAGCAAACCTCTGCTCAAAGTGAATGGCTCGCCTCTCCTTGCAATGTTTTAAAAGTAAAGTCTTCCATCCTTGTAAAAAATAAAATAGGGTATGTGTCTGTTTAGACTGCAACTCTCTTAGGCATCATGGACAACAGCTGTGCTATTTGGGGGTTTCTAGATGATTTATCCCTAAAAAGCAATTTTTCATATACGCTTCCTTCCATAGTGCTGCCATAACAGCCGTTTCTGTTGTTTGTTATTAATCTTTATTGTAAATCATTGGGTCTGCCAAATTTTAAATGTTGTTTTAATTGTTGATTGTTTAATAATTTTTTAAAGGGTGGAATGGTTGGGTTTAGGATTGATTTTATTGTATTGCATTTTATGTTGGAAGCCGCCCCGATTGCTATGCAGAGGGACGGGGTATAAATAAATTTTATTATTATTATTATTACTCTGAGGTTATGAAGCCCAAACACGTCCTGCATACTTGAAGGATATAAGTTGCTGTTGTTGTGCGACTTATGGAGACCCTAAGGCAAACCTATCATGGGGTTTTCTTGGCCAGATTTGGTCAGAGGAGAATTGCCATTGCCATCCCTTGAGGCTGAGAGAATGTGACTTACCCAAGGTCACCCAGTGGGTTTCATGGCTGAGCTGGGAATCGAACCCTGGTCTCCAGAGTCGTAGTCCAACACTCAAACCACTACACCACTCTGGCTCTATATCTATCTATCTATCTATCTATCTATCTATCTATCTATCTATCTTTCTATCATCTATCTATCTATCTATCTATCTATCTATCTATCTATCTATCTATCTATCTATCTGCTATGGTTCAATGCTATGGAGTTTGTAGTTTTGTGAGATATTTAACTGCCTCTGTCAAAAAACCTCTGGAGCCACAACAAATTACAACTACCAGAATTTCATAGATTTGAACCACGACAGTTAAAGTGGTATCAAACTGCATTATTTCTGCAGTGCAAATGCAGCCTAGGACTCACAGAGAATAAGTTTACATCCTTACACAGCCATGGAAACCCACTGGGTAACCATGGGCAAGTCACACTCTCTCAGCCTCAGACAAAGGCAATGACAAACCTTCTGTTGAACCAATCTTGCCAAGAAAACCCTGTGATAGACTCACATTGTGGTCACCATGAGTCAGAGATGATTTGAAGGTGGCCAACAAAGAGACTTTTCCGTAGCCTCAGGGAAATTCCAGATTCATTGCTGGTGAGTGATGCAAAATATATTTTCACCCCTCAATGAAATTCAATAGACTCTGGTTTGAGGGATGGTAAATATCTCAACAAAAGCATCACATTTGGATGTCAGTGGGAGGAACCTGAAAGCTGCTGAGATCCCTCCATGTTCTTCTCAGGATTCCCCTGAAAGTGTCTGTAAAGAAGGAGGAGGAAGAGGAAACGAAGATGGAGAAAGACAAAGGAGAAGACATAGCCAAACTGCAGTGTTTGCCAGTTCTAATCTTCCCTGCCTCCAAAAAAAGGGCTAAGCAAAAACTATGGCTTTGAGACCCATGCTTACATGCAAGCGATGGGGCTCAAACCAATTGCAACTGCCCCATTTCATTCCACATTTAGGAAACAAAAACAAAACTCACAAGTGTCCTATTTTGGCTACCTAGGCTGCATCTATACTGCAGAATTAACTGAGTTTGACGCCACTCTAACTCCCATGGCTCAATGCTATAGCATTCTGGGATTTGTAATTTTATGAGATATTTTGCTTTTTCTATCAGAAAGCTCTGGGGTTGCAACCAACAACAAATCCCAGGATTCTGTAGGATAGCATCACGGCAGTTAAAGTGGTGTCAAAACTGTTTTAATTTTGCAGTGTGGCTTCACTCCTAATCTACCTGAAACACTAAAATAAATTCTTAGTAGGAATTACCTCTCAGAGCTGTTTCTTCCACCAGCTATTTAAAAAAACACACACGCACACATAAGCCAAACTGTCTCCCTAATGTATTTCGCAACCTTTTCAGAGCATCCCCTTTCCGAGTGTTTCTTTAAACCCAATTAAAATCCTTGGACAGTGAGATTATGTTTCGGAATTGTAAAACTGCTAGGAATTAGTGGAGCAAATGGAGGCTTGTGCAAATGGATCCTTGTTAACATTTCATGTTAATCGAAGGTGGAGGAATGCAAGAATGAAAGTGCAGCAGCCTCCTGGTTTTAAAACAAATTTCTCTAATTAGAGAGGGTTTGTTCAAACCTTCTGCCTTACGGGAAGTTTTCTTACAATTTCCCACATGGGGATTTTTGGCATCCAAAAGATCCTTGTGAAATCTTTGTTTACAATCTCATGTAAAATAAAGTCTTGCAAGAAAAGACTACTTGGCTTCTGAATGGGGAAACGATCCCATACCTGTAATTAGGCATCCCTACTTCAGTGCCTTCCTCCAGATTTGTGGGACTACAATGCCCATCGGGCACTGACTGCCACAGGCAAAGGTTGCTGAAGAGGCAAAGGACATGATGGAAGGCCAAAGGAAGGAGGTGACCGGTAGCTAGCTCCCTTATATAAAATGGCAAAACTAAGGCTTGCTTTTTGGAATTTTTAAAAATATATATTTTAAACCATATCGTCACCTTCACTCCAGTTGTTACTTGGTTTGCACTGGTTTGGAGACCTTTCGTTCTTTGTTGAGATAAAGACTTTCCCCATGTCAAAGTGGTTGGACTCCAACAGGTTGCAACCACTCCATCTGACTTTGTCATTTTTGCCCTGTTTAATGTGACGTCCCACAGCATCTGGGTTCTGTTCGGACATGGTCCAAACCACGTTCCTCTTCCTCCTAGGTGACCTCCTGCCTGACATTTACAATCTTTCCCTTAAATTGAGACACATGCCCTAGTTCCCTGTTCAGCCTTGGAAAGGCATTTCTTCCTTGTTGTACATTTTCCTTATTGTACCCATTATTGTAGGACTTGCTTCCTCCTAGTCTCTGACTGTATCTGTATTTAATACCTCAGCTTTCCCCCCCCAAAAAAAACCTTTAAAAGTTATTTATGCTTTCAAAAAATAGCCAAGATTCTAGCCAAGATTCCTGCTACTTAGGACTTGATCACACCGACCGGCTGTCCCACCACAATTGTGCTAGTTTAAAAATGGAAGCATACTGGTTTGACATCATTTCTTATCACACTTTCCCCCATGATAGAGCTTCGGCAATCCATGGTTGTGTGATCTGTTTTTCACCAAATGCTACCTTCTGAGAGGAAAGGTGGGAACAAGTGATCACAGCTACCAATCGCTTCCCAAATCCAGCTGCTGTGTGAATTTGCACAGAGCAGCTGATTTTGGGAAAATGTTGGCCACTGCGACCACTACTCTGCCCCTGTCCAGAAGTGCACATGCATGAATCTGGACAAATCTGAGAAGAAGATCCAATGCATGAATCTGGACAAATCTGAGAAAAGATGCAATGCATAAATCTGGACAAATCTGAGAAGATGCAATGCATGAATCTGGACAAATCTGAGAAGAAGATGCAATGCATGACTCTGGACAAATCCCCAATCTGTTTGGGGCTAGACAACTACACACACCCCATGTTCATGCTAAGCTTATGTTGATTTTGTGTCGAGATACTTTTGGTCTTTGGCAGGGCCTTATCGGTTTCATAGGTATTTGCTGATAAGGCCGGGCCAAAACCCAAACAGGATTTTCTCATAAACAAGCAGGATGGGGCAGTGCCCAATATTTCAAAAGCAACAATGGCATATTAAACATTCAACCTGTCAAATAAAGAGAAATGAATCAGTTCTGGGAAATGGAACCAGGAAGACTGTCCATTTGTTGGCTGATGAGTTAACATTTCTAGCGTTTCCTTTGGATGCCCACTCAACGATCCCGGCTCTTTGCTGGTGATGCAAAATACAATTCAATCCATACATGAAATATAACACTTTCTGGGTTGCAGTCTGGCCAAAGGGTAAATGCCTATCTGTATTAATGGCAGAGAGGACCTGAAATCCAGGAAGATCTGTGCCTCTCCTTGAAAGGGTTACCACTGAAACAGAAATCAAGAAAATAGAAACATCTCTTAACCACATATTTGCAAAGCTGAGCTGATCAGACAATGGTCTGGTTGACTGTTGCAGAAAGTATGTGACTCCCTTGATTCAACTGGCTTTACTGGCTAGTGGTCTGCTTCGATGCAGAATTCAAAGTGGCATGGTTGAACCAGGATTCAAAGGGTCTGTGCCCTGGGACTTTGTGATGAACAGGGATTATGGCATCATCTGCCTTCCTCCTTAGATTCCTCCAGTTCCTCCAAATTCAGATGAAATCCCTGCTATAGCAGAGGAGGGATGGATTTTCCCAGTAACAATGTACTGTCCCTGAGTCACTTGCTGGGATGGTTTACAGTTTGCTAGGAGAGAAATGGCTTCTTCCTCCCTCCCCAGGCAGTTGCCCATCTTTTTGTATAGATACCATCCTGGGGAGGGTCTGCATTTCAAAATTGACCACTTCCCTTCCAGACGAAGGAAAGACAAAGGGTATATTGCTGCTTCGCCTACTTTGCAAGGTCGGAGGTGCCTGCATACCAGTTTGAGACGGTCCCACTATTTGCCATCCACCTAACATTTCAAATAACCAACCAAAAAAGGTGTCAGACAACAAGCTCAGTAGAGCTTGGGGAAGTTACTTTTTTTTTTTTTGACAACTTCCTGAATTCCTAGAGGCTAGGAGATTCTGGACGCTCGGTCCAGAAAAGGATGACATTTCCAGGCTCTGCTAGAGTAGGGGCCTTTGCAGACTGCCAGAAATAGTGCAAATTGAGTCCACTTCAACTGCCCTGACTCAGTGCTAGGGAATCATGGGAACTGTAGTTTATTGTGGCACTGGAGCTCTCTGACAGAGAAGGCTCAATGTCTCAGAAAAAAAATACAATTCCCATGATTCCCTAGCACTGAGCCAGGGCAGTTAAAGTGGACTCAATTTGCATTATTTCTAGCAGTCTGTGCAAAGGCCCTAGGTGAACTTTTGAAAAGCATTAAGTAATATATATATATATATATATATATATATATATATATTGTTGAACAGAGCCAAGTTAGAAAGTATTCTCCTTTTCCGGTTCCATTTTTATTTCTTAGTTGCGGAGCTATTTGTACCTTGCCCTATATCTAAGCTCTTGAGGCAGGCTGCAGACAATAAGAGCGGCTTGATGCAATTATAGAACAATTTGGCAATACGTGCTCCACAAGTGTGTTCCAAATGTCTTTCTTGCGCTCATGCCATGGCTGAACGTGAAATAATGAATCCTATTGTTGAGTCCTGCTCTTTCCTTTCAGCTCTTGCATATGACTTTAACGGCATTTTGCTCACTCACCTCAATTGCATAGAAAGACTCGAAATGTTCTTTTCTTTCTTCAGTTTGCTTGCTTTTGTGTTTTGTTTTGTTTTTAGCAGTGTGGCAAAAAATAATCCAGGAACAAATATATATATATATATATATATCCATGAAATGGGATAAAATCAGCACATTTTTCTAATGACGTCAAACTCATTTGGGCTCATAAATTAGTAACAACTTGAACTCCATTAAGGGCAGTATATAATCTTATAAACAGGGCATTTTCTCCATCCTCCCATCTCTTGTAGATTCTTTCTCAGCACTGGAACATTTGGAACTGAAAACAAGAAAATGACTGCTAAACTTTCGTGCCAGCTGTAATTGCA